ATCAACTGAAGCCATGTATTATGTATCTTTAGAAATTAGTGAAAGAGAATTTTAAAAGTTACCATCTTAAAATGTTTGTATGGGATAAAATTATTCAAACGTTTTGAGGTATTACCATCCTAATGCATTACCTCCGCTTTAAAGAGTATTCAAATAGGCTAGAACTACTGTTAACTACATTGAAAATGAGGGCCGTGGGTTCAATCCCCAGAAGAGTCAACTTTTTCTTTCTTTCTTTTTTTCTTTTAACATTATTTATGTATCTCTCATGTCCCATTTGGAAAGAAAAAATTGTTTAATTTTGATTTTTTAATTTATATAGGTATTTTTTGGCTAACTTTTATGCTAAATCTAGTAATAAATATGGTACCTGATATTTTCAAAGTGTAATAAAATAAAAACTAGACGGTAAAAGTATTTCATATTTTACAAGATCAACCAATATACTTCTTTAAAAATTTAGGGAAACTTTGAAAACAGGCACTCATTTGGGTAAATTTTAAGGATTTTTTAAATTAGGATCCCTAAGTAGGAAAATGGTCAGATGGGTGGGGTAGGGCAACATTTGTATAGAGATTTCATAAATTTTAAGTAGAAATCATAATTTTGCTTATGTGGATTGTTAGCTGAATGGTACTACATGTATTTGTTTCTTACCAAAAATTAATGGGAAAACATTTTTCATTAGAATGTTATTGCATTCCTCATTTCTAAAAAAGGGCCCTCATAACATCCTAGCTCGAGTTCAGAAAAGTGGCCATAACTTGATTTCCGTACGGTAAACTTTGTTTAAATTGTGCATACAGGTGTACTTTAAGGTATATATCTGACCTATGATGTCAATTTTTTAGTTCCTTATAGTGCCCATTAGGGTCGTAATACCTTAAGTTCAATACCATTCTGTATTCACCATTCTTTTTTGGTCTTAAAAATATTGGTGTGGACATGCTTCTACTTCAACTATAACTTGTAATTTAAGCAATTTCTGAATTTCATTTTGAATGACCATTTGTTCTTTTTGATAAAAATTGTATTGAATGCATGCATTATAAATTTTAAGCTCATCTTCTTCAAGATTTATGTAACAATGTTCGACAATATCTAAAATATAGCTATTCATCAATAAAACTTGCTAATCTTAGCAATAAAAGTTGTACCTACCTCGTTTACTGTCTGTAAGGGCGGAACCCCTGCCTTGGGAAGTTTTTTGAGGCAGATACTGGTTCACCATAGGATTGAACTTGACCACGACCTCTCATCATTCCTCTACCAAAACCAATATGACCTCTATTAAATCTATTTGGTCGCCTTCGGCCTATAAATGCTCCTCTCTGATATCTGTTCTGGAACATGCGATTGCTTATTTTTGAACAATCTTCAATTTCTTTCGCTGATCTAGGAAAAGGGTCTATTATGATTACATAAATGACTATATTCTTTATTAAGTTCGGCCTTAGGAAATCCTTTTGAGTGAAGTTGATTTGCTTATTGGCTTGCCCAAGCAAAGCTAAAACATCATTGCACTCATCATTTGACCCACTGAAAACATCATTCTCTACTTTTGTCTCTAATTTTGCCATTTGATTTACAACTTTTGTCAGTTTAGTGGCCAATCGCCTCAATGTTCTGCATCTTCTTATCATTAGATCTGGCAACAGGACTTAACGAGTCCCATATTAATGGATTTGTTTGAACCACTACAAGACTCTCACAATTTGCTGGTCTTGGTGTTATTTCCTCTTATATTTTGTTTCATCAATGCCATTCCAAAACAGTTCATTAACATTACTTGCTAAAACAGAGTCAATGTTCTGGTCACAAATTTCTGCTGCTTTGAATCGTTAAGACATTTCATTAAATTGATTATTGTTATCATCATTTTCAGTCTTTCTTTTACCAGAATTTTCTGTTCTACCTGGTTCATCAGTTACATCATCACCCATTTCATCATTAACACCAGAATATGACTGACCCTCTTGTGAACATAAAACATCATAATTGCTATTGTCACATACATCATAATATCCTTCTTCCTCACAGTCATAACCCTCTAAGTATGACATCCTGGAAGCAGTTCATTCTGCTCAGTAATTTGTTTTTCTTGAGAGCTCATTCTTTCTGATTGTTTGTTAATAGAACATTGTAAAGCAGATATAGCTTTTAGCACCACATTTTCTGATTCTGCCAATGCACTTTCTTTACAAGAACATGTGCTTTTTTCTTTTGAATTCGTTTTTTTAGTAACTGGTTTCCCATGAACAGGTTGTTTTCCTTTTTTCTCTTTCCCCGTTAAATCACAGGTTTCAGTCTTATTTTTTTCTTCCGCCGAACTACGTTCGATGTTTTTTGTTGACATGTTTATAAATGTTCCTGAACTATCAACGATAGTTTATACAATTTTTTTTTAACTAATTTATCAGTAAATTTTTTCTGACATCACGTGCCCGATTTAGTTTACAAGTTTATTCCAAGAATAAACCACTAATATAGAATTGAATATATATTTTGCAAAAACATGCAAATTAAAGTATTATAAACCAATAAACTTTGTTTTATGATCAAAACAAATGTTATAGATTTTCAACAACGTTGAAACGCCCGCCGTCCGTCATTATTGCAACACTGGTTCTGCCCATGCGCAACACATCTCATTTAACTGAACAAAATTCTTTCACGAAAAAGAATTCTATTTAAAAAATAAATGTTTATACACATCAGTTTTACTTTCTAAACAGTTTTCCACATAAGATATTTACAGGAATTTTTATTGTCGCCAGTATCTTTAACATTGATCTTTTTCACCAAAATTCTACCCAATAATAGAAAATTATTTTTGATAAGAGATAAGTAATTTCTTTGGCTATGTAGATTAATGAATTTGTATGTCATGTGACAACTTTTGTTTTTAAGTTTTCTTAAAACAAGAGGGCCATGATGGCCCTAGATCGCTCACCTGACCCATCAAACTCATCCGAACAATTACCTTGACAAGCATTCTGACCAAGGTTCATGACAAGTGAGTCAAAAATGTGACCACTACAGTGTTAACAAGGATTATCCATATTTGAGCAGTGTGACCTAGTTTTTTACCCAGGTGACCCATATTCAAACTTGACCTAGAAATCATCAAAACAAACTTTCAGACCAATTTCCAGGATACTTGGATCAAAACAGTAGCAACTAGAGTGTTAACAAGATTTTTCTATTTTTAGCTCCGGTGACCTGGTTTCACATGCAATTTTGAACTCATCTGAGCAATTACCTAGACAAGCATCCTGACCAAGTTTGATGATAATTGAGTCAAAAAAGTGACCACTAGAGTGTTTACAAGGTTTTTCCATATTTGGGCGGTGTGACCTAGTTTTCCATCCGAGATGACCCATGTTCGAACTTGACTTAGAAATCATCAAAACAAACTTTCAGACCAATTTACAGGATATTTGGATCAAAACAGTAGCCACTAGAGTGTTAACAAGATTTTTCTATTTTTAGCTCCTGTGACCTAGTTTTTCATCCGAGATGACCCATGTTCGAACTAATCCGAGCAATTACCTAGACAAGTTTCCTGACCAAGTTTGATGACAATTGAGTCAAAATTGTGACCACTAGATTGTTAACAAGATTTTTCTATTTTTAGCTCCTGTGACCTAGTTTTTCATCCGAGATGACCCATGTTCGAACTCATCCAAGCAAGTACCTAGACAAGCATCCTGATCAAGTTTGATGACACTTGTGTCAAAAATGTGACCGCTAGAGTGTTAACAAGATTTTTCTATTTTTAGCTCCTGTGACCTAGTTTTTCATCCGAGATGACTCATGTTTGAACTCATCCAAGCTATAACCTAAACAAGCATCCTGACCAAGTTTGATGATGATTGAGGCAAAAATGTGACCGCTAGAGTGTTAACAAGGTTTTTCTATTTTAGCTCCGGTGACCTAGTTTTTCATCCTAGATGACCCATGATCGACCTCATCTGAGCTATTACCTAGACAAGCATCCTGACCAAGTTTGATGATGATTGATGCAAAAATGTGACCGCTAATGTTAACGTTAATAAGGTTTTTCTATTTTTAGCTCCGGTGACCTAGTTTTTCATCCAGGATGACCCATGTTCGAACTCATCCAAACTATCACCTAGACAAGCATCCTGACCAAGTTTGATGATGATTGAGGCAAAAATGTGACCGCTAGAGTGTTAACAAGGTTTTTCTATTTTTAGCTCCGGTGACCTAGTTTTTTATCCGAGATGACCCATGTTCGAACTCATCCGAGCTATCACCTAGACAAGCATCCTGACCAAGTTTCATGATGATTGAGGCAAAAATGTGACTGCTAGAGTGTTAACAAGGTTTTTCTATTTTTAGCTCCGGTGACCTAGTTTTTCATCCAAGATGACCCATGTTGAAACTCATCCCAGCTATCACCTTGACAAGCATCCTAACCAACTTTGATGATGATTGAGGCAAAAATGTGACCTCTAGAGTGTTAACAAGGTTTTTCTATTTTTAGCTCTTGTGACCTAGTTTTTCATCCGAGATGACCCATGTTCGAACTCATCCGAGCTATCATCTAGATAAGCATCCTGACCAAGTTTGATGATGATTGAGGCAAAAATGTGACTGCTAGAGTGTTAACGAACTAAATGTGGACGGACGACGGATACTCATCATGTTCAGGTGAGCTAAAAATACTGGTGCAATAGACAAGTCAATTTTGCCCCTAACTTTTAAAGGGAAATAATCTGACTTTTCTGGTTCAACTCATAAACAGAGAAACCATTCCACTTGTAAAAAAATATTGATAAAATCTAAGTGCCTGCTAAAATCAGTTAGTGTGATATAAACAAGTTCTCAAAAACTAAAGTACCTTTCTAGAAAAAATAAAAATAAAAAAAATACAAGAATAATCAGCAAAAAGACCAAGACACCTGTTCCCTTCAAACTGAAAAACCCCTGACCAAATGTAGAAGTTTATACATGCATCAATGGTGTCATTTTACCTTTATTCCCTGCAATATTGTGTCTCCCTTCAAGTACAAAATGTAGGTTTCTATTAAGATGACTCTACTGAGGTTTGTTGACATGACAGAACTTTGAATTATTTCAAGATAAATGTTCCATTTGTTGTAAGTCCAGACAAGAGCTACCACCGGGCGGGGGCAATGCTCGACTTTTTTACATTTTTAAAGCAAACAAATAAATGGTTTAAACAAATCAATGAAAAGAAAAAGATAAAGAGAAAGAAGTTTTTTCCTTTTTTATTTTAATAGGTCTGTCTGATCTGTCAAAGTATGAATCATTTCCAAAAATAAATATGACAAAGTTAAGAAAATATAAGCAAAATTCAATAATCAAACCTTGAAGGTCAAGGTCATTTAAAGGTCATGGTCATATCTAAATTATTGAACATGTCTGTTTGGCCACAAGTGTTGTTTTGTCTATATATGAATCAAAGCCGTACATAAATAACAAAATTATGACAATTTAACAAAAATTCAATAATTTGACAATGACGGTCAAGGTCATTTAAAGCTCAAGGTCATGGTCAGTTCAACCTTTAAGAAGGTCTTGTCAAAAAGGTTGTTTTGTCCAAGTATGAAGATAATCCATTGATTAGTTACAAAGTTACAACCAATTATAGCAATAATCAGTGAAAATACAATAATTTGACCTTCCATGTCAAAGTTAACAATGAGTTAAGGTCAATCTGAGTTTGATATACATGAAGGTCCTGCCATAATACATGTTGTGTGTAAATATCATGAAATTAATCCATTTATAAATAACAAAGTTATAGCCAGTTACAGGAAAAACAAGAGAATTTTATTTATTTGACCTAAAAAAAGAAGAAAATTATTACAATTTAACCAAAATTCAGTAAAGTCATTAATTTTAAAGTTCAAGGTCAAGGTCAGTTTAACCTTTCAGACGGTCTTGTCCAAAAGGTTGTCTTGTCCAAGTATGAAGATAATCCATTGATTAGTTACAGTCAATCATAGCAACAAGAGCCACCACCTTGCGGGGGCAGTGCTCGACTTTTTACTTTTTCTAAAAGTAAACAAAGAAACGTTTGAACAAATCTTAATGTTTTCATTTTATAAATTTAATCGGTCTGTCTTGTCACATTAGTTTTGTCAAAGTATGAATCCTTTCCATATATATCCCCATGTGTATTACAGAAGAAAAAAAAAAGAAAAACAAGAACGTGTTTGTTAAACACAAATGCCCCTGGCTCAGATTCTTGTCAGTAGCAAAAAATTTGTCATTTCAAAAAATGTTTACCCATTCACTCAGTTATGGACAGAAAAATTGCCAAAAAATTGTAAGCACAAGTTATATAGCTTGACAAAGTCATGGCATTTTGTAATTGTGAAAAATATAAGTTGCCAAGTCATTGCTCTGACTTGTGAAGTTGAAAAATATTCAACTTCATGAAAGTTATCTACCCCTAACTCTATCCAAAAGAAGAATACCATGTAAGTTATCTTCCTACCAAATATGAAATACATCTGTCAATAAATAAAGGCTGTATGGGCAAAAGTGTAAAAATCTATTTTTAGATCTGGTGACCTTGACCCAACTGACCACTAACTCCATCAAAGTTTATGTTTCTATCAATTATAAATATCATCTGTCTATAGAATAAGGTCAATACACCTGTAAAAATGTAAAAATCTATTTTTAACATTGGTGACCTTGACATTGGTAACATTTACCTTGACCCAAATGACCCCTTACTACACCCAAAGAAGGAGGAATTCCCTTGGCATGTTTGTATTAAACTAAGACATCAAATAAAAATAATACTGTATGAGCAAAAATGTTTATATTTATTTTTTAAACCAGTGACCTTGACCTTGACCCTAGAAACGCTTTCCCACAAAAAATTAGAGGACCATCAAAGGTATCCACCTACTAAATATGAAAGATATCATTAAAGAAATTAAGCAATTAGGAGAAATTTAAGATAAATTCAACTTGCCGAAATAGGTTAACCAGACAAGGCCCTATTTTCAATGTGAAAAAAGGGAAATAACTGGAAAATATGGATGACACAGTTATATAACTTGGCAATATCATGTACTTTGTATTGATAAGAAAGTGTGGAAGTTATAAAGCCATTAGTATAGATAGAACTTAAGATATTTCCAACTTGCCGTTTTAGGTTAACCATTATTCATTTTCTAAGTGCTGAAAAGGGCAATAACTTGGTAAATATGAAAGCCAGAGTTATGTAACTTGCCCAGATCATGAACTTTGTATTGATTAGTAAGTGTGTAAACTTAGAGGCCATTGGTACAGGTAGAACTTAAGAAAAATCCAACTTGTCGTTCTAGGTTAACCTCGTACGGACAAAAGGACAGACGGACGGATGGACGGTTCAATTACTATATGCCCGGGGGCATAAAAATATATATAAATGCATTTATTCTATGTCTGTCATTCCCATTAATACTAACATCTGAGTATGTCTATCATTTGCATTTTTACCAACATCTGAGTATGTATATCATTGTCATTTGTACTATGTCTATCAATCGCATTTATACTAACATTCGAGTATGTCTATCATTGCCATTTATACTATGTCTATCATTTACATTTATACTAACATCTGAGTATGTCTATAATTGCCATTTACACTAACATTTGAGTATGCCTATCATTGCCATTTATACTATGTCTATCATTTACATTTATACTAACATTTGAGTATGTCTATCATTGTCATTTACACTAACATTTGAGTATGCCTATCATTGCCATTTACACTATGTCTATCATTTACATTTATACTAACATCTGAGTATGTCTATAATTGCCATTTATACTAACATTTGAGTATGCCTATCATTGCCATTTATACTATGTCTACCAATTGTATTTATACTAACATTTGAGTATGTCTATCATTGTCATTTACACTAACATTTGAGTATGTCTATCATTGCCATTTATACTAACATTTGAATATGTCTGTCATTGCCATTTATACTATGTCTATCAATTGCATTTATACTAACATTTGAGTATATCTTTCATTGTAATTTACACTAACATTTGAGTATGGCTATTATTGTCATTTACACTAACATTTGAGTATATGTCTATCATTGTAATTTACACTAACATTTGAGTATGTCAATCATTGCCATTTACACTAACATTTGAGTATATGTCTATCATTGTCATTTATACTAACATTTGAGTATGTCTGTCATTGACATTTATAATATGTCTATCATTTACATTTATACTAACATCTTGAGTATGTCTATAATTGCCATTTACACTAACATTTGAGTATGCCTATCATTGCCATTTATACTATGTCTATCATTTACATTTATACTAACATTTGAGTATGTCTATCATTGTCATTTACACTAACATTTGAGTATATGTCTATCATTGTAATTTACACTAACATTTGAGTATGTCTATCATTGCCATTTACACTAACATTTGAGTATATGTCTATCATTGTCATTTATACTAACATTTGAGTATGTCTGTCATTGACATTTATACTATGTCTATCATTTACATTTATACTAACATCTGAGTATGTCTATAATTGCCATTTACACTAGCATTTGAGTATGCCTATCATTGCCATTTATACTATGTCTATCATTGCCATTTACACTAACATTTGAGTATGTCTATAATTGCCATTTATACTAACATTTGAGTATGTCTAACATTGTCATTTACACTAACATTTGAGTATGTCTATCATTGCCATTTATACTAACATTTGAGTATGTCTGTCATTGCCATTTATACTATGTCTATCAATTGTTTTTATACTAACATTTGAGTATATCTTTCATTGTAATTTACACTAACATTTGAGTATGTCTGTCATTGCCATTTATACTATGTCTATCAATTGTATTTATACTAACATTTGAGTATATCTTTCATTGTAATTTACACTAACATTTGAGTATGTCTATCATTGCCATTTACACTAACATTTGAGTATATGTCTATCACTGTCATTTATACTAACATTTGAGTATGTCTGTCATTGCCATTTATACTATGTCTATCAATCGCATTAATACTAACATTTGAGTACATGTCTATCATTGTCATTTATACTAACATTTGAGTATGTCTGTCATTGTCATTTACACTAACATTTGAGTTTGTCTAACATTGTCATTTACACTTACATTTGAGTATGTCTATTATTGCCATTTATACTATGTCTTTCAATCGCATTTATACTAACTTTTGAGTATGTCTATCATTGTAATTTACACTAACATTTGAGTATGCCTATCATTGAAATTTACACTAACATTTGAGTATGTCTAACATTGTCATTTATACTATGTATATTATTGCCATTTACACTAACATTTGAGTATGTCTATAATTGCCATTTATACTAACATTTGAGTATGTCTATAGTATGTCTAACATTGTCATTTATACTATGTCTATCATTGTCATTTACACTAACATTTGAGTATGTATATTTTTGCCATTTATACTAACATTTGAGTATGTCTATCATTGTCATTTATAGTCATAAATACCTGACTATGTTTATTATTGCACTTTATACTGATATCTGGCCATGTCTACCAGCATCATTTATACTGATTGTATGAATTATAGTTCTTTATTGTAAATTTATTTTATTTATAATCACAAAATTTTCATAGTTTGATTTGTCCCATAGTATTTACTATTAAAGACATTGTTTGACTCTTTCAATTTAAGATAGCTTCACTATTCAAGTGCTTCAATAACAAAGGTCTACATTTTATTCATTTAAACGTAAGATCCATAATTCTGAAAATGTCTGAACTGAAAACAATCTAATAACTGCAATGCAGCAATTTTTTCGATATCAGAAACTTGGTTGGACTCTAGTGTGTATGATGGTGAAATTGACATTCAAAATTATACTGTACTAAGAAATGATCGCAATAGAAATGGAGGTGGGGTATGTATGTACATTAGAAATGATATTTCTTTAAAGGTGAGATATGATTTGTCAAACAAC